TACAAATATAAAAAAAATCAGTACTAGCTCAGGATAGTTTGGCTACAACTCATGTGTAACTTTTATGCCAGTATCGCTATGTTAATTTTTAAATGGGGATAGAAGGAAGAGGGGAAATGAATCTTTCAGTTTTGGAAACCAGGGCACAAATGTTCCATTCAAGCATAAAATTAAGATGGTCTCATCCTATTTGCCATTTGCAAGTATCAAAAAAAAACCAGTCACACAGCTCTGGATTAGTTTTAGAAGGGCAGTAACACTGTTGTAGTTGTTATCATGGAGCTGCATGAGTTAGCTTTGTGTGGGAAAGCTTGTGTAGGACCTGCATCACATTGCGCCTGGCTCAAGCTGGTTCAAACTGGTTTGGTTTCATAAGAAAGTAAATTCACTTACAAAGCATAAGGAAAGAAGTGTGCATTAAGGAAGAAAGCCTTTGAACAGAATGAAGTTGCCTCCTGCTCTCTATAAAAAATAAGCCAGCAATATTTTACTAAAGTGCCAAGAAAAGATTATTTCTATGCCTTGTTTAATATGAATTCTTGTCATGGTCACAGCAAATCAGCAAGTTGGATTTCTACATTTCAGACAATTTTTGGTCTTCTCTAGGGCAGATGGAGTTTGCCTTTCACACAATGCCCTCAGGGTGAAGGTTCAGTAAGGATGAACTGTGCAATCTGCTTCACTATAACACATGACATACAGTTGATCAAAGACGAACGTATTAGGTACCAGATGTTGCAAGCAGTAATACATGTCCCAAGCTTCACTTTCCCCTAATGTATGACATGCTGGGGCTAAAAGCACTTGTAAGATGAGATTAAGAGGGAAAACATTAACAAGCATCTCAGAAGAGCAGAACAAGCAGAAGGAATATATGAGTCCCAAAAAAGGGTTGGGTGGATTTTTAATGAGGGGAAAGGGGAAACAGTTGCTAATTTCTGGGTAGTTTCCCTGTTGTTTTAATTTTCCTTGGTACCTTTTCCCAGCTTGGGACAGCTTGCCTAATATTGGATGGATAACTACTTGTAATTTATGCAGAACATTTAAAGAGCAGGGGCCTGTTTCTCTCCCACAGGATAGAAGACAACCTAGAGTTATTTGAATTCTGGAAGGGGAGACTCATGCCTGAAAAAAGAGTTTCTCCCTATGTCTCGTTAGAATGACGGGCTAGAAAGATCCATTCCTTTATAGAACAATTGTTAAAACTGAGCTGCTAAAATTTTAGTGCTCTGCTTAGAGTGAGATGATGGTCTTGTGAAGACACTGAATTGAGGGCACAAATCTGATTTGATTACACATTAGGTCACAGATTTTCTGTGGGGAGTTGGACAAATCATTTAATCTTTCTGTGCCCCATCTGTAAAATGGCATTAATATTTCCTTTTTCCCATCCACTATCTTTCTTACCTACATAGTTTATAAACTTATAAGGTCAGAGAATATTTCTCACAGTGTCCAGCATACCAAAGTACCAAGCATAAGAGAGGGAGGAGAGGGAATTGGAGCTGCAGCAAAGGGAAGGGAGTTATGAAGAGTGGGGATGAATAGGAATAGACGGTCGGGAAGGCAACAAAGGTAAGGGCTCAGGATAGAAACACATGGCTCTTTAAGTGCACCCCAATCTTCTTACACCCCATTCACTGTGTAGCCCCAGTGTTACCAGTGCACCCCAATCTTCTTATACCCCATTCACTCTGTAGTCCCAGTTCTGTCAATGCACCCAACCCTCCTGAATTTTCTAAAGTCTTTGAGGGGGAAAATAGATGTGTGATTTTTTGAGAAAGGAGGGGTAATTAGAGAGTGTAAGAATGGGGAAAAGAAGGCAGCAAAAGGATGGTGATTTTGAGAAACTATATAGTCAATTGCTAGATCACAATTTGGTTTGTTATGAAATATATTCAAGAGATCAAATAACCAATGTCAATAAGGTATATTGGCATCAGATCAAAGCAGATTACCGAGTTTAAAAATGCAAACAAAACTTAACATACTAGAAAGATTGAATATTAATTAACAAATTCTCGCCCTGGCTGACTATACAAGCAGGCTGCCTATTCTTAAGAGGAGGTTGCCACATATTTTATCAAGACAATAATGATCTGCATATTATGAGTTTTCAGGTGATATTTCACAAGGCATGCTCTAGCCTAGGTCCAGAATTTTTCCCAGTTCAGTACTTATTCCTCATGTGTTTCTGGGAGTCTTGTTGTGTGGAGGATTAAGAACCACAGATGAGTAACTCCCTACCTTAGACAGCTTTAGCATATGGTGGGAACCCTTTGTTTCAAAACTTGGTTCCCAGACCAATTTGTGGAAAAATACTGACATCTCAAGATAGTGTTCAGACACATGTGGTCTGGTCACATGCCATTGTAGTGTTATAGCAACCATTACTTACATATTGGTCAAAACCTTTACAGGAAGGTTGAGCTATTCCACTGTACATTGTCTTTGCTGTTGGGCCATCAGCCCTGTCTGGCATCTTCATTGTTGTACCTGAAAGGCTAGCTGTGGGAGTAAGCTCATTTGAAATACAGATCTCTAGTCAATATTCATAGCTTCAGACACAAAAAATGATACATACATACAAGAAGGATAATTCAATTCAGAATTTTTTGCAATGACACATCATATGACCTATCTTATCCAAAATGCATCATCATTATACCACAATCATATCATTGTAATATCCCCATGAAGAGTAATAGGTGCAGTGTCACAGGGTAAATGGTGATGAATGAGAGGAAAATGGAAGGTGAGTGTTGAAGAGGTCTTCAGAAGTGGCAGGAAGAACAGTGGAGAATAAGATCAGTGTAACGTGTCAGCCACAAATCCCCACATTCTCTGTGTGTGCCCAGATATGGCAATTTTTCCCCATCTACAGGGGTTGGGTTTCCCCAAATCTACCCCACAATTTGAGACCCCCCCTTCCCTGCCACATGTGAACTAGGATCTGGAGAAGTCCTATCTTTTTAGGTGAGGAACTAAAAACATGTGTAGTCCATGCACATCAGGGGCTCTGCATAGTCAGGAGACAGAAACACCTGGAGCTGCAACACAGGGTTGTGAGTTCAATCCTTACAGAGGTCATTTAGGGATTTGGGACAAAAATTGGTCAGGGATGGTACTTGGTCCTGCTGTGAAGGCAGGGGACTGGACTCAATGACCTTTCAAGGTCCCTTCCAGTTCTAAGAGATAGGCAATCTCCATTTGATATATATATTTAATCTGGGTTGGCTCTCCAATTTGCAATCTGTTTATAAATTTCATTTGCAATTGAGCCAACTGATCACAAATTCTTACGGTGTGAAATTTTTTTCCCCCAGTAGGCTGCTGTTTGGCCTTCATAACCACTATCCTCCTTGACATTGTCCATCACCTGAAACACTCCATCTTTTTCAGATGTTGTGAACTTCCCAGAAGGGCAAGTGTAAATTCTGTAATAACTTGTAGCTTATTCACTAGTAGATTTGAAAGGGCACAATGCAGTCAGAGCTAAAGCTGGATTATCATCTGTATGACCACAAATGTCCTAGAAGTGGGAACAGAGGAAATATTCTGGCAATTAATTCTTGGATTGTGAAACACAGTTGAAATATCTCCTTTGCATTATAATTAGCCTTGGGAAAGAGGGATGGAATCATCAGTACAGCCACATCGCTTATTCTGGTAGCTCTGGGAAATTTGCCTTCCAGTGCCGAGGAATCTATTATCCAGCATTAAGTTAAATTCAGTCTCAATAGAGGTCACTGATTGCAAACTGCTTCAGAGACTTTAGGCACTCAGATAACAAGTTAATAATCATGGTATAAATAGATAAATAGATTTGACTATTGAGTTACTTTGTAAGTTGTCTATAAAAAATAATAGTGTTCAGACGCTCTCAGTTAACAAATTGTATGGGCTTTACATAAAGCCTAAGAAGAGATTTTATGTAAAATTAACACTCACTAAAATATATTTGATTAAGAAATATGTAAAAACATGACGTGTTTATTCTCTCATTTCAATAGGGCACAGCATTTGTGACAAGTGGATTTTAGGGCTAGTTCAAAATTTTCAAATAAAATAAAATTTCAACCAAAAGGACAAAAGAAATTATGAATTTTTGCAAAAGTTTTTCAATTCCCCAATTGCTCTCAAACTGCATGGCTAGATATAACTTGAGAAGCTTATGAAAATATTTAATATCTAGTTGACATTAAGCAATGTGCAAAAATATCCTAATTATCTAACATTCTTTAATTAAAGATTTATTAAAATCTAATTAATGTACCCACACTCATGCTTAGGACATAGTCTGAACTCAATGCCATTCAAATCCCATTACTGCTAATGGGCTAAAACCAAACAAGTAGAGAATATAAAAGATTTTAAATTTACATTTAATAAGACATTACTCATGTGTTAAATACAACATTATTATTATAAACATATTCAGTGCAGATTAACCACTATTATTACAATGAGTGTTTCAATAATCAGTTAATATTTATTTTGCTTAGAGCACTGAATGTCTAATTATTTAACAATTATAATTTTATAATGTCTCAATAAATCTACAGCAATAGAAGGTCTATCTAGAAACAGTAATTTAAAATATTAGGAAATATTGTTTTATTTAGGTCCACAGCACTACTTTAAATAAAGAACAGGCTTTTGAGGCAGAGAGCAATTAAATTTAGACAAAGCAGGACACACAGGACACACCAGAAGATCAGAGCTAAGTGAAATCGCAAAGCATTATAGATAATTTCTTTTTAATCTATAACAAAATACAGGACTATGTAGCACTTTAAAGACTAACAAGATGGTTTATTAGATGATGAGCTTTTGTGGGCCAGACCCACCTCCTCAGATCAAATAGTGGAAGAAAATAGTCACAACCATATATACCAAAGGATACAATTAAAAAAAACAGACTAACACGGCTACATTTCTATCACTATTTTTAATCTATAATCTTCATGGAAGGAATATATCCCTTTTTAGTGTTGGATTTTAATGAAGAGAAGGTGGTCAGCTAGTGCACAAAAAGAGGATACTTCAGTCGAAAGAAAGAAAGAAAGAAAGAAAGAAAGAAAGAAAGAAAGAAAGAAAGAAAGAAAGAAAGAAAGAAAGTAAGTAAGTCCTGGCTTGCATCTTCTCATATAGGCCAGAGTTACAGAAAATGCAGGCACTGTGCGCCTTCCCTGACCACCCAACGTTGATGTTTGTGAGCCGGCCTTGGTGGTCTATGAAGTCTGCAGGACCATAGAAAAGTACCCCTTGTGGTTAATGTAGTAAGATGCCCGGTGTTTGGAGGCCTGGATGGGGATGTGGGTGAATCAATGCCCCACACACACTGCTGGGGAAGCCCATGGAAGCCAAGCCAGCAATGATGGGGTCCACATTGCCCAGGAGGATGAGCCGGCTCAGCTGGATGGTTTAGATGGCCCTCAACACCTGTAGAAGGAGACAAACAGAGAATCACATGGTTGCCAGGGCCCTTGGGGAGTCCCCAAGTCAACCCTCGCCGCCATCCCCATATGCACCAGGACCAACCCTCTACTTATCCCATTCCCAATTAGGTCTTTGTGAAGGCAGCACTGAAAACCCTTCCAGGGAGAGAGCCTCCCCCACTCCCTGCTTCCCTAGGGAACCCCATTCATCTGAAGCAGTTGGCTGTGCCCATAAAAGCTCATGGTACACCTACATGTTTTGCTAGTCTCTAAGGCGCTGCAAGACTTTGTTGTTTTTTAAGTTTTCCCATTCCAGCAGCTCACCACCCACTGGGAAAATAGCACATAACCCCAGTGCCAAACTGGTTTTCAATGGAGTGGTAGCTGACCAGCTTCCACAGAGAGATGGCGACCCATTTTTGGAGGGGGAGGGCAGGTCACATGTGGGTGTCCCATTGTGTCAGTGCAGGGACGAGCCACTCACAGAGCTCCATGAAGGTGTCATTCCTCATGAGAAAATTCTGGAGCCACTGCTGGTCGTCCTAACACTCCATGACAGTCCAGTCCCATCAATCAGAACTGGTGTCCAGTCGCCAGAAGGGGCTGTACAAGGAAGGGTGGAAGGGGTCGTTCTGCATGAGCAGTGCATGGAGAGAGGAGAGGGAGGGGGCGCCCTGCAATGAGCTGGGGGACCTGTTCCTGCAAAGCCATGAGGGAAGCCTGAAGAAACTACAGCAGGAGGTGCAGCATGGGGTCTAAGAGCTGTTAACTGCTTGGTGGCAGGTCCGGCTCCATGGCAGAAGTGCTGAGGTGTCCGCAAGGGCAACCAGAGCAGGCAGTGAGAGGGCTTTGCTGTCCCTCAAGGAGGTAGGCAAAGGAGTGGAGCCTGAGACACAGCTGTACAGGGGGAATCCCTTTAAGCTCGAGCCTCAGAGTAACTGCTGTCCTGATGCCCTGCCTGAAATGCTTCTGGGTGGCCTGAAATGTGATTCAGCATCCAATGAGTGTGGATGCTCTATTTCAAAATAGCTCAGCACTATTTTGATGGGAATTTGCTGTGTAGACGCACTATTTCAAAATATGGTATTTTCATAGTTTCTATTCCAAAATAGCTTGTTCCGGAACAAGGGTGCAGCATAGACATGCCCTATGTTATTCAGGAGGAGAGTAACCTGATATGGCTGAACATTGGTTCATTCAATAAACAACTCCAGTACTTCAGTAGTTGCTGTGATCAGAGGTTAATAAATTAACTAATCAAAATCAATTATATGTATTTCCTGACTTTCCATCCTCTGCTAAGCCTGTCAGACATTTGATTAGAAAACATCAAAAAGCTAACCATACCTCTGCAGATATTGACAGGCTCAAACCATGGCTGACTGGAACTGGTATGTATGGGATAGGGTATTTTGGAGGATGCTTAACATGGAGAATGATCCAAAGTCGGCTGAAGCCAATGGGAGTCTTTCCATGGACTTCAGTTGGCTGTGAATCAGGCCTATGCTGCTCGTTGGTGGATTCTCAGCCTCCTTTGTAATTAGTTGCAAGATTCGTATTCAAAACAAATTAGATCAAAGCTCTAGGCTTAACTTTGAAACTCCTTAGTGTTGCTTATTACTGAACCAATATTAAAGTTTTTTAAATATATTTTAATTAAATGACAGAAATAAGGCTTTGAAATACATATTCATGAAAGTTATTTTCTGTTTTCTTGTAAGACGCATATGATGTGATTTACCTATTTTGGGTTGAAAAATAACCTTTAAAGCTTTACAATTATTCAGTATTCCCTTTTACGTGTGTGTGTGTGTGTGTGTGTGTACACGCGCACACAATTCTATGCAGTTTCCCAAGGGAAGCTTAATTTTAAAAAATACCCTTGTTTACAATCCTTATTTACAATACAGAGATCTCAGATCCTGCTATTTGAATATTATTTCATCTTCATAATATTCATTTTGTGATTATTCATAATAAGTATATTGAGATTGTTTGGTTCTCTTTAATAGAGACTGTTATCATGTATTGCAGCAATGCCGTCACTGCTTTCTTTCATGACACTGTCTTCCTCTTTGAAGTGCCCAGAACTTCATAGAGCTCTTCATACAATTAACCATAAAACTCATCCTTTCTCAGATTTTTGACTGGATTCGCAACTGTTGCTCTAGGCAGTATACAACACAGCTGAAAGCTAAATTGAAAAGTAAGGGCCCAGGTTATAATGTGTGTGTAATGTGAATTAAAAAAATGAGTGCTTGTACAGAGCTGCTTCAAGAGTGAGTGCAGAGGAAGGGGGAGATTGAGGAAAGGACAAGTTGTGTATAAGACTCCAACAGAACAATACAATAAAACATCTTCATTAAACAATGATCAAAGACTTGTACATATACACCACTTTTCTTCTGTTTAAAAAAAAAACAGGAAATGGTAGGGGGGAAGAGGGTATGTCTACACCACAGCGTTATTTCAAAATATCTCATTTTGAAATAACGCGTCTACACACAAAATGCATTTGGAAATAGTTTTTTGCTATTTCGAAATAGCGCATCCACGCTGATTGGACGCTGAATTGCATTTAAGGCCAGCCAGAACTGGTTCAGGCAGGGCATCAGGACAGAAGTTACCTTGTGGCCAGGGCGGCCAGCAGGGCACCCTGCAAAGGGCTGGAGGCCTCCTATTTCGAAATAAGCGTCTACACATCGCTTATTTTGAAACAGCAATTTCGAAATTGGCGCTATTCCTCGTGGAATGAGGTTTATCAATTTCAAAATAAGCCTGCCACTATTTCAAATTAATTTCAAAATAGCAGGTGGCTTGTGTAGACTCTAGGAAGGTAATTTCAAAATAATGGCTGTTATTTCGAAATAACTTTGCTGTGTAGACATACCCTGAGAGAAAAAGCAGATCCATGTGATCATATTACACCACTAGATGGCCACAACCTGGGATATGGGCCAGAACTGTTACCTGTTAAAAGGGAGCATAGCCTGGACTAACTGGGACTTGATCCAAACCTATTGAAGTCACTCAGACCCCTTTCACTGATGTCAGTGCGTGTTTGATCACACCCTTGGTGAATATGTTCCATAAGCTGCTTGATCTGGTCAGAATGAATGTACATCTAACAACATGCAGGGATCATCCTGTGCCCTGAGGGTTCAACAAGTAGTCACACAGCTTGTGGGCACAAAGAATTAAAAGGGCAAATCTACCACCATCGTCCATGTTACCTGATAAAGCCAAGGTGTCTGACAGAGTTGAGCACCATTGGTGCCCTGGGCACTACACCTATGGAGCAATGCATGTTGCAGAGGTGGGATCTAATGCAGGCCTGTGGGTTTCCCTGCAAATGTTCAAAGCTACAGGACTGGGAATGGAACATATTTTGAGGAGCAGTTGCTATCAGTGGAGTCCATTACGAAATGTATTACTAGCAGGACAAAGCTAGTATCACGGAGCCTATGAGAAACAATCTTACAGCATCTTGAGTAAACGATTGCCTTTGGAATACAAAGAGTTTACTTTTAACAAACCTTTCCACTGTTTTTTACGCTGCTTCAGAGCTTTGTATTGACGTTTCAGCTGTTACTGAAACTCCCTCTGCTTCTCCCTCTCTCCCCGACCGATTTTGAAAGCTTGCATCCTGCATTCATATTAAACCCTCTAAAGAAATCCAAATTAATTGAATAGGTTCATTTTATGAACCCAGCTACAGTTCTTGCAGTCGGCTATTTGTTGTCTTGCTTAGCAGCATTGGATTCATCAAGCAAGTGTGAGGTTTACAGGACCATTTGGCCAATTATGAAGCTATGTACATTTTGTGACTCTGTAATGCTCATTTCATAATTAAAGTGTCAGCCCATTCAATCATAAATACTAATATCTGAGAATGGGCAAATAACACCTTTTTGTCCAATGGTAAGAGATGGACTCACAACTTACCTGCTCATAAAAAGTGGGGTTCAGTACACTTTTCATATAGTAGGTAAGTCTCCTATTTGTATACAACACTCTAACTTATTTTTATAATTTAAATGTTTACAAATGGAACTCTAGGTAGACATGGTAATTTACACTGCAGGGGGAAAAATATGGTCCCTGTGCCAATGTGAGGCCCTGACCCTGAAATTATCAGGAACATCTCTGTGCCCAGACACAACCACACTGGCTTCAGTGGCAACAATTTCCAAAGAGGCCTAAGTGAAAATTTTAGCCACTGAGACTCATAGGACCTGCTGAACCCCACTGCATCCAGTTGCATTAGATATGATTTACTGTGACTCAGGATGAGATGTTTTCAGGCAAGGAGAATATTACCAGGTCATGAAGTTTGTTGTGGAGGTGTGCATTGTGTGATTCCTCTTTTTACAGTAGTACATTTTTGCTTCCCTTTTTGTGTAGGAGGAGCTAATAACAGCCTCTAGACTGAAATGCATAACACCTTCCATTATTAAAGATTTTTTTTCTTTCACCTGTGTTTTGCAGACCTTTGGAATTTGGCAGAGAGAATACCCCCTTGCTTTTCATCAGAGCTGTCTGTTCCATAGGTAGGGCTTGGGCAATTGCCCAAGCCCCGTGCTTTGGGAAACCCTGTGCTTCAGGGCCCTCTGGAGTGGGGGTGGGAGCAGGGCTAGCAGGAGCCTTGTACTGGCATCAGAAGTCAGATCAGTGCCCCTCCTGGCCCCTCTGGGCTGGTCATTTACTTATTTTTCTCGCCTGCAGCCCTTCCTCTGCTTCAGACTAGTTCTACCAACTTCTGGATCTGGCTACCACAGGACCCTAGTGCTCCCCATTATACCATGTATTAGTGCTTCTCCAGCAGCCTGTGCAGATCAGGCTAATCCTGACTGACCTTCCAGCTTCCACCTACGAGAGACAGACAGACCCTTCCATTTTCTGGTGGCAAGATCCTCTACCAGCACAGCCCTCCTCCAAGCACAGGTGAACGCCAGCCAGTCTCTGTCACCCCCTAATGCCCCACACTGCCCCCTTTCACTGCCC